ATGGCTAAGCCAAAGGGCGGTGCCAAGGCCAAGGCAGCCCCGAAGCGAGGATCGGCTGGCGAAACTCCTGCCAGCAAAAAGCCGAAGAAGTGATTGGCCCAGAAGTTCGCTGCTTTTCACATTCAACAAGGAGTGTGTGCAGCCCTCGTGCATAGTGGTGATCGATCGATACGGGTCTGTGCGGGACAAGAGAAGTTTAGCATGCATGTGCATGTATGCTGATATGTTGTTAGGGTCCAGCTCGTGACTGCACCAGCCAGGTCGGCATCGATGCAAATTTGTTGCTGTAGCTTTCCTAGGAAAGCTGTGCAGCACACTTCTCAAGTTGTACATGGGGGGCATCTCTAGAGATCTTTCTGCGAGCTCGCATGAGGTCAAATGGTTCACACTGCAGTCGCTACGTATTGCATGGTAGACAACCTCCTCTACGAAGAACCTGTAACATGCAGTATCTCGGCAAGCCAGGTGAAGATCGACTTGATCCTACTCCAGCTGATGATTCACATGCTGCCACTTATGCAGAAGCACTGGCTGATTGTGTCAGATTCTCAATCCATGAAAGTGCCAGACAGTCATCAGGTGAAAGCCGAAATCATCCGCCATATTGCATTACTTAAACTTATATAATTATCGCCCCGCCCAGGTTCCAGCATCAACTTTGCAGTCCTTGGCTGCCAGGGCATCCGCTGACATGCCATCGGGCCTGGGCCCGCAGAAAAGCACCGACAACAACGCATTCAGAACTGCTGACAGGTTTGTGAAAAGATGGGGATTGCGGTGGAGCATACCTATTTCGGTCTATGACCACGATGATAAAACTCAAGTTCCATTCTTGTCTCCTCGTGACATTTTTTCCCGTATGCTGGAAAAGGCTCCCGACCTACTGTTTGGTGGTTATGACAGCCCCCACAAGATTCGAGAACTCCTGGGCAGCTTTTGGACATCTTACAGGCAATGGCATCCAGAACACATGGTGTTTCAACAAGCTCAATCGGGCGACCTGGACCTCAACTTTACGCTGCCAGTGATAATACATGGTGACGAGGGCAGAGGGCTTAGAAAAGGAAACGTAGCCGTTTGTTCAATGGAGACTCCTTTCGGTTTGGATACACATAAGGAGGTCCCATGTGGGGCTTCATGGCCTTGTTGCGACCAGAACAACCTCGAGCCCAGCCCAGCTGATTTCCAGACCACCAACCTGAAGTTTCATTCCTTCCTCACCAAGTTTCTCATGTTTCTCATGCCGAACAAGATCTACAAGCAGGAAGGTGTGCTGCAAGGACTTCTTCGTTTGATCTTCACGCAAATGCGATCGCTGTTTTACGAAGGGGTTCAAGTTGGTCGCCGCATATGGAACATAGCTGTTATTGGCCTCAAAGGAGACATGGCATGGTTCCAGAAGATCGCTGATCTGGATCGCCATTATAACAGGCTGAGCAAGAAGGTTGATCAAATGTGTTGCCACGAGTGCCTCGCAGGCTGCTCAGCGATGCCCTTTGAAGATCTGGCTGACAACCCAAGCTGGGCTCCTTCGATTTTCACACAGCGGCCTTGGCTCCAGGAGCCTGCTAGTGGACTGTGTTTGCTGCCATTTGATGCGAATCGCCCTGAATCTATTCTACGCCGAGACATTTTCCACAATCTGAAGGTGGGTACTCTACAGGATTTTATAGCAGGATCGATCGTTGTCATAGCCGAATTCGGCTATTTTAACGAGGGGTCTTCGCAGAACAACAACTCCTTCCCCACTATTCTCAAACGAATGCATGGGCATTTCAAGCTTTGGTGCGCCACTGTTGGAAAATCTCCCAATCTGCAGGGATTTACAAAGCAGTTTCTCAACCGGCCTAGCCGAAAACACTATGGCTGGGCCAAAAGCAAGGGCTCGGATTCGGTTCTGCTGGTGCAATGGCTGCTGGTGTTGGTGAAAGCATGCGAGGCAGACATTAAAGAAGAGAGCCATCGGGATGCTTTCGAAGCCATCTACCAAGCTGCAGATGCTGCAAACAAGTGGCTTAAACATATGTATGCTCACTCGCTGTGGTGGGCGAGGCCATGTGCCCGAACCAGTTTGGATCTGGGTTCGAAGTTTATCAGGACCTATGGCTATCTGGCTTACACCTGTTTGCACAAGTACCAGCTTTCGGCATTTGGGCTGAAACCCAAGCTGCATATGCTTCACCATGCCACCCATGCACTCCGGACAGACTTGGCACGGAACCTGCAAAGAATACCCTCGCTCATTATGACCAACTGTGAGATGAACGAAGATTTTATTGGCAGGATATGCAGAATGGGGAGGAAGATGCATCAGCGAAACATGTGTCGAAGAGTTCTCGAGCTGTATTTGACCAAAGGCTATGCTCTACACCGAAGATTCAAAAAGAATCCCAATCCTCGAAAGAGGAAAGCTGCTAGCTAGGTTCCCAGCGGGCCAGTCGACCAGTTCGAAGAGCATGGAACCACGCATGCAGAGTTTTACAGGGCTCGAGGTCTTTTGTGGTCAGGGTGTATGGGGTTTCAACATTCTGGTTTCTAAGGGTCACAGGGTTTTTGGGGTTATATTTAACATAGTATACATGCAATATATAGCTAGATATAATATATAGTTAAATAGGACTATAGGGTTTATTACTCTGTTGTTATATAAGGCTGCTTTGCACTCTAGGATTTGTATGGAGTTTAATCAGGGTAGTAGCTAGATATAATATATAGTTATATATAGCTAGGACTATAGGGTTTTACTCTGTTGTTATATAAGGCTGCTTTGCACTCTATAGGATTTGTAGGGGAGTTTAATCAAGGTAGTATTCTAAGTGCTCTACAAGGATAACTTTAGGCTTCCTTGCTGGCGACTGGTCTTTCTCCGAAGTGCAGTATGTTCGCTCTTGTTGCAGGAAAAACAAGCGACGGCAAGGGATTCGAGAGCTTGTTGCTGAAGCAGTCTGTCACAAACCCAGCCCAACCCCAAAAGAACTAAAAATAATCCAAACAACTAAAATTAAGTCAAACGCCTAAAATAGTAGTTGTTTCAAACAACGCCTAAAATTTTAGTCCCCGGAGGGTCTAGGTAAGGGGTTTCGGGTCCATGGTTTCTGAGGCCTCGGGCTTCAGTAGCTTGTTGAAGACAGGCACTTTTTCTGGTTGCTCGATTAGGGGCTTTGAGGCGTTGATGTGGCAAGGTTTTACCATAGTCAGGGTTTCCTAGAGGATGGCATTTGTGGTTTATGTTTTAGGTTGAGGCTACTGGGGGCTGCAGAGTGTAAACTTGCGGTTTTAAGTTGCTCTGCGAGCCGAGTGCCGAAGTTCCAGGTAGGGCTCGTCAAGTGTATGTGTCAAAAGGCTTTGGGTTTAGGGATTGCTCGGGTACCATACCCCATAATTCTCCCCAAGACAGCCTAAGTCCGGACCTGAAAGCCTTGAGATCTGAGGCCTGGGTGTGCAGGGCCTTGCCGATGCCTTCCTCATGATGTGCCCCGGGCCAATTTGAGTTTCCTAGGCTTCATGGTTTGAGAGACAAAGGTCTCTGGATTGCCGTGAGATGCTGACGGTTGCACCCAAGTGCTTGTGTGCATGCAGACATGCGTGTAGGAATATAAGCTTTCCACCCGAAAACATACGCTCACAAGTACACAAACACGTTGGCTGCACGCCGACACCTGAAGCCCCGAAGTGCGGGTACGGTGTCGGGTGTTTGCACTCTTGAAATGCTGCTGCTAGCTTGTAGCATTACTCTCACGACGTAGATGCCTCCGTCGCGGATGTTGGTCTGTGTCCTGCTGTCCTCGTTAGCATCACCACCAGTATCATCCAGTATCATAAGTAACCGTTGCAACAATGTGTGTGGAATTTCTAGTTCATGCTCGGTATTGACGTTGCTGCCTGCGTTGCGATTGCCAGCATGTTGGCTTTTGCTGTCTGTCTCTGTGTGTGTATTTGTAGATGCTGCCGCTCCTGTGTCTGATGGTAGTAGAAGCAACCTGCTGCGCAGCACTAGTGCCTAACCATCGACATCATCACCAAGAGCATCGTCGGCATCCACGATCATCATCGTCGGCATTCGCTACAAGCACCGCTCTTGGCTGGTATGCCCGAAAGCCTGCAGTTTGGGATTCAAGACGTACGACCCCAGACAGCTGAAAACCCGGTAAGTTCTTAGAGTTTTGGGGTTTCATGGCAGGAAGCTGCCTTTCGAAAGCGAAGAGGCCAGACGATTGAATGAGGACTGGCTTGCCCCTTGTGGTCTCCTTAGTCATTATTTTTGATTTTGTTCATATACAACTATACAACCCAGGAGAATATGAACAACGTTGTTTGTATATTATGGTTCTAAGGGGGGCATAGTAGTAGTAGTAGACCCCCCAACTACCCTCTATTATACCCCAACTACCCATGATTATAGGACCATATAGGGCCTCTATAAAATGGCCCTTGGAGGGTCCTGGCCGAGGCTCTCACGTTTCGCTGTTTAGGGCTTAGGGTTGAGGGAGTGACCTGCGGGTGGAAAACGCGCCCAGCGATTGTCGGACCCTTCGACTCCCTAAGCCTTGACCCGACGGCCCGACATTCCAAGTCTACTCTAAGCCCAAATCCTGACCACAGATTTAGAACTTGAAATCTCACATGACACGAGTTAACGTGCGTAAACCGCAGGCCAAACACCCACACTTTCGCCTCAAATCCAAAGCTCAAAAGTCTACGTCCCAAGCCCAAAGCTGTTCCAGACCTCCTCAGCCTCCCAATACGATTCTTGCGTTTTGTTGCAGGACATCTTTGAGACGATTTACTTCGCTGCCTGCGAAGTTTCGGGACTCGAATGTGTGTTTAGTTTCAGAAATTTAAGGCTTCATTTCTGGATTTAGGTGTCAAGGACTTGCGTCTGTGTGCTGTAACGGCTCGCTTGGAGGCAAGATCAAACTGCCTCTGCAACTTAAGCTTGGGAATTTGAATGCAGAAGACTTGATTGCCCTGAATGTGTAGTTGCTATCGCTAACTGTGCTCAGCAGTGCCAGTCTGATCTGAATTATACATTATACGCAATATCACGACTGCCTGCCGTTTTCAAGCCCTCCAGCTCCACCCTGCATCCAAATACACCTCACCCTCAAGTGCCAACAGCCGAACGCACCTAACCCCGCAGGAAGTGAAGCACTGTAGGGGCCTCAATAGTTACCAACACTATTTTCCCGGGTTCCTTATTCTGTTAGTTATAGTCTAATATACCCCAAAATGCGACTTTAATCATTGAGGCCTCTATATCACAGACTTCCCATCCCAACTGCAACGCAGGCCCCAGGCCCAGAAGCCTGCTCGCAGCTCCCTCGGCCCGGAACCGATACAGAGCAAGCTATCTGAAGACGAGCACATGCGACGACGGACCCGAGGTAACGCGCCCTTCAAGCTGAATCCTATCACGCAACCCCTTCACTCCTACATCAAACTCCTTAGACCCTGATCTCGATTTCAATTTTCGCGACAACGCACCCCCAAACTCTGAGCCTAAGCCACTAGCCCAACACGTTAATCCTTAAACCTTACGCCCTAATCCCTGAACCGTAAACCCTAATCCCTCAACCCTCAGCCCCGATCCCCAAAACCTAAACCCTAATCCCCAAACCCTAAATCCTAAACCCTAATCCCTAAACCCTAAACTCTACTTATAGACCCCACAGTAGCGCTTTTTGGGGATTGCCTTGTAGGACTCTTACATATGAACCGCCAAAATGAACTACCATAGGGCTCAAGAGCCTTAACCCTAAACCCTAAACCAATAGAGCCTTAACCCTAAGCCCTAAACCAAAAGAACCTTAACCCTAAGCCCTAAACCAAAAGAGCCTTCACCCTAAACCCTAAGCTAAACAAATTTTAATTCTAAATCCTAAACCAAAAGAACCTTAACCCTAACCCAAAAGAACCTTAACCCTAAACCCTAAGCCAAAAGTGCCTTAACCTTAAATCCTAAACCAAAAGAGCCTTCACCCTAAATCCTAATCCAAAAGAACCTAAACCCTAAGCCAAACGAGCCTTAACCCTAAATCCTAAACCAAGAGAGCCTTAACCCTAAGCCCTAAACCAAAAGAGCCTTAACCCTAAGCCCTAAACCAAAAGAGCCTTCACCCTAAACCCTAAGCTAAACAAATTTTAATTCTAAATCCTAAACCAAAAGAACCTTAACCCTAACCCAAAAGAACCTTAACCCTAAACCCTAAGCCGAAAGTGCCTTAACCTTAAATCCTAAACCAAAAGAGCCTTCACCCTAAATCCTAATCCAAAAGAACCTAAACTTTAGGCCTCCTGTGAGTTGGCAGAGCTCTCCGGGCCCTACGAGACCTACCCTGGAAGCCCGGCGAGCGAAGGCGCGGTGGGATTTAGGGTTCAGGGGTTAGGGGTATAGGGGTTTGGGGGTTAGGGGTTAGGGGTTTAGGGGTTAGGGGTTTAGGGATTAGGGGTTTAGGATTTAGGGTTTAGGGGTTAGGGGTTTAGGGTTTAGGGTCTATAGGGTTTAGAGTTGCGCGTTTAAAGTTCAGGGCGTTTAGGGCTTGTAGGGATTTAGGGTTTAGGGATGTTTAGGGGTATTAGGGTTTAGGATCTATAGGGTTTAGAGTTGAGGGCTGAGAGTTCAGGGCGTTTAAGGGTTTAGGTTTTAGGATCTATCGGGTTTAGAGTTTAGGGTTGAGAGTTCAGGGCCCTTTTAGGGCTTTTAGGGTTTCGGGCTTGGGGTTTGGGTTTCTGGGTTAAGGGTATGAGGTTTGAGGTTTCGGGCTTCGGGCATATATTAGGGCTTTAACGTTCGAAGAAGGGTTTGACGCAAGTTTGGGGTTCGGGGATTTAGAAGCTTAGGGCTGTAGGGCCTTACAGTGATTCATTGCGGAAAAAGAACTTTAGGATGTTTTGGGCATTTGGGGCCATAAGGTGTTTCTTGGACGTAGGGATTGGGACTATAGACTACGGGGTCTTTAGGATCCAGGACTTGCTATGGGGGGTTTGCACACGGATTTGCAGTCTATGTAAAATTGTACGAAGTCCTTTTGACATGTTGGTGGCTTTGGTGTCGCAGCCTTTGAGCAAAAGCCATAAACGTCCACGAGCCGGGTAGATCAGGCACACCTGGCTTTCGAATTTTGAGGCTGCGTGCTTGACCTATGAGCCCGTCACGGCTTAAAGTTTTTGGTTTTCCGGTTTGGGGTTCTGTACCGACGTTGCGGGGCTCTTCACTGGCAGTTTGGGGCTCTGGATGGGTATGATTAGGGACGCCTTGAAAACGCGCACATCATGTGCACGGAACCCCCAAGCACTATAAGTCGGAATGCGCACAGAAACCATTGATGTATTCTAACCCCCTATTAGAATCTGGGGGGGCTTCAGCTAATGTAGGAACCCCCAAAATAATAGGATTCATAAACGGAACCCAAATAAAGCCCCAAGGTTCTTAATCAGGTTCCTACATTATAGGGGGAGTTTCCGAAAATTAGGGATCCCTTCTCCTGGGGCCCTTTTAATAAGAATCCTACTATAAGGACATGTCATACCTTTTCTTTGCGCCAGGACGTCTCCAGTTCGATCTTTGGTCAAAGACACCCCGCAGCGGCAGATGGAACTGGGATGCACTGAAGGCCGGGGTTTGTTGCTGAAGCGGGGTGTAGAATCCTTATTAGGTTCAGGGTTAGGGGTGTAGGGTTTAGGGGTTTTGGGGTTTAGGGTTTAGGGGTTTAGGGCGTTTTATAGGGGTTTAGGGGTTTAGGCTTAGAAGACCCCTAGGCCCCATAGTAGTTCCTTCTTGAGGTTCATATTTATAGAATCATATAAGGTAATCCCAAAAAGGGACTACTACGCGGCCTATGCGTGATACGAAGACTACCTAGGATTTCTGACGCAGGAATTGCGACTGTTTTCTTCAGGGGTTGGGAGGGCTTAGTCTAGACTGTAATCATTGGGATTCAGGTCTGGGACGTTTAGAGCCTGTACAGGTGCTTAGGGTAGAGTTCATAGTAGATGCGATGCAGGATTTAGGGTCCAGGGTTTGGAATTTTGCTCTGTGCCTCGTGGTTGCTGTGGGAGGTTCATGGACATAAGCTTTCTGTTCACAACATATAATGAATGAAGAGCATGTCGGCACCAGTGCCAGGAGGACCCTCCACAGAGCCCCAGGCCCAAAAGCTCTACGCCCAAACTCCTCTGCATCTATCCCAAAACCCTAGACCCTCGAACCTTTTCGCCTGAAATCTTTGCCTGTCAACCAGAGTCTTGGGGCACTCATTACAGCTCTTAAGACAAACTCCAACACAGCTTTCCGGAACCCTGGACTCCCAGGCCCCCAAGCCTTTTTCCGGAAGCTTTTGCCTTTCAGCCGTTTACCCTGCTTCTTAAACCCGATAAGAGCTTCATGCACACCTGAAGAGCCCCATCCTTACGTGCAGAGGCAAAGATTGCGCAGCATGGGCTTCGAAACTCGTTGTTGGTTGTGCTCTGGCTTAGTGTTGAAGGTTCAGGACCTACGGAGGAAAATTGAAACCCGGCGAGGGATTCACGGTACAGAAAGAGAGGAGACCTTAAAGAGAGGGCTTGGGACTTTCGGCGATGCATGAGAGCACTTAGGCATGGTGACCGGCCTATAGGGTAGGTGTGATATCATGTTTTTCATCATGCTGTCGGTCACAGAGTGACAAACAAGGTATAATCTCTGGAGCCTCACTGACATGGTAACTTAATCCAGGCTTTGCTGGCCGAAGATTCGAAAGCTGAGTGCTGCGGGTCTGGTAATGCCAGCCATGGACTATCTGCGGTCACATGGTGAGTTCATGGTGGCTCATGCGAAGTATGCCTATAAGCTATAAGCCTTAAGGCCAAATAGAAGCGTCCTCGGAAGTCAGAAAGATCATCGACACAACTCCTATAGAGGACTACTCTTCTTTTTCTGGACTTTGATGTTTTGAGCTCTTAACTAACCCTGATGCGCTTAGTCCGCTACATAAAACCAAGGCACCCATGCCAACTGCTTCCACGGCTCAGATCTTGGGGAACAACGCTCCCTGCCTCGAACCTGCAGAGTTTTTCTGTTGGCATTTTCTGCTTGAAGTGGGCTTCAGGGTGCAACTATGGCATACAGTGACAGTATTCATTGTGTGGCGGCTAAGGCTATACAAGGGGTAGGATGTTGGAGTCGCGGCCATTTGAGCACTTAATTAGTGTGTTCCGGGCCTTTCCCCAAACTCCTGATCGATGCGGGGCAGTTACGAAACGCAACCACCCAAGTCCTCAGAACTTAGACCCGCAAAGGCCTAAAGCCTTCCGTCCTCTCCAAAGCCTTCTACACCCTCAACAATCCCATTAAACGGCCGAAGCCGCATTGCACCGAAACCCGAACCCAAAGCCCTAAGAATGTAAAGGCCGGATTAAGTAGTGGCACTATACTAGAGTATACCCCCAAACCCCTATTCAAACTCAGTAGGCCTCTGTATTCTCCTGCTCAGGAGTCATCTGAGCCCTACACCAAGCCCTAGTCCAAGAGTAGTGGCACTATTCTTTCGGGTTCCGTGTGATATCTATGCTAGAATGTACCCCCAAAACCCTGTTCAAACTCATGAGGTCCATCATTAGGCCTCTCTCCAGAGTCTCTTGAGCCCCACACCAAACCCTATTCAATTTCATTCGGCCCTACATTCTGCTCCTAAACCCTATACCCGGGTCAGGAATCCTTTGAGCCCTACACCCAGAATCTCTACGTCCGCCGCGTGCTCTCGGGGGAGTTCGTCCAGGCAGAGCCGGAAAGAAGATCTCTGAGAGCCCAAGAGCCCTCGGGGCCTCGGAGTTTAGGATTTAGGCGTGTAGGGTTTAGGATTTAAGTTTTTAAGGTTTAGGATTTAGGGTTTAGAGTTTAGGATTTAGTGTTTAGTATTCAGGATTCAGGGTTTAGGGATTGGGGTTTAAGGTCTTGGGTTTTGGTGTCGGGCTGGGGGGTAGTTGATGTGGCTTTGGGGTTAAGGGCCTCTCGGGGCATAATATAGGAATGAGACTTTATAAGTTATGAGGCTTATGGTTTACACCCCGAGCCAGAAGTCCCGCACAAGTGTGAAGGTCCAGGGTTCAGGGTTTGAGTGTCCTCACAGGTGAACCGACACTTGCTGAAGGATCTCATCGAGCGCGGGCTCTGGGACGAGGCACCTGAACCTTGACGCCACTACTTGGGAGTGCCCAAATTCCCAAGCTCGGATAGTGAAGGTTCTGTGTTTGGCTCCGGGAATAGAATGATGATTCTGCAAGAGATCCATGCAGTACGACGACAAAGAGTTGGTTCGTAGTGTACGCATTGTGCATGTCAGCGCTTCTGCAATCACAAGCAGGACCTCCGGGTACAGCTCGTTGCCCAGAACGGGAGTGTGCAAAGGCTGCCACTGCCGGCAGACATCAAGGAGACCTTGCAACAAAACTAGGATCACTCGTACTGGAGACTGCGAAGATTGCTGGTATCCGGCAACATCAAGTCAAGTTTGGAGAGCATCCGTATTCAATATAGAATACACTTAACTTGGGGTGTTTGCCCTCCTCGACTTCTGACAGTTGTGTTGGTGTAGCCCGAGACCTTAATCCCTCTCCCGATTTCCTTTCGGGCTTTGGGGTTTGGTGTTGAGCGTCTCCTCGGCAGGAAACCCGATGATTAACGCGCAAGGCCCGTAGATTAACGCGCAAAGCCCGACCCCAAACAACCGCGAAGAGGAGCTGTACAAGACCGTCTGGGAGATCAAGCAGCGGAGGGTGTTGCCCAGATCTGAATAGACTTCCCTAATTTCCCTAAACCCTAAACGCTCAGACTCGGTACGGTGAACGGGGGAGAGTGCTAGAGGCAACCTGCATATCATCGAGCTAGTAGTCCGAGTTTGGGCTCGAGGTGAAATTCTAAAACCCAACAAGATACAGGAGCCCAAGTGTAGTGACCTGATCTAGCAACCCAGGGTTCCTACTAGCCTTCTTGACACGAAGGTGATTTGCTCGGGGATCGGTGAGTGTATATAGGGCTTCTTAGGAACCGTCGGTGAGTGTGTAGTTGCGGTCGTGTTACGGGGAGACGGGTGGGTACCCTACATCATTTCATGGATTCTACTATGGAAGCATGACTTGCTTAAGCAGGTTCCATGAAATCAAATCGCGACATTTCAACTCTATCATGCACCTTTTGAGACGAGGCGCCGTCCCAGTTTGAAAGTTCGTGCCCAACACCCACAGAGACAGCCGATAGTCTTTCCATGTCTTTCCTGTTCGGATGTCTTCGTACAGGAAGTTGGACGGCGGTGTTGGGGTTTTGCGGGGTTCATCGGGGCTTGCGGAGAGTTTGGGGTGGACGGCCCGGGACTTAGCGAGTGGGATTTGATCTTCTGGGTTTAGTCCAAGGGTAAACGGAGGGACCCTTAATAAGGACCCCTAGGTATATACCCTTAATATAGCTATTATATACCCATTATATAGCCCATTATAGGGTAGGGGTCCCCATTAAGGGTCCCACCTTTTACCCTTGGATTTAGGGCGCTTCAAGGTTTTGGGACTTCTGTCGAGGCTTTTGTGTCCAAGGTGTTCCGTCTTTGGCCGTCTTCGGCTGGCCGGGCCGGCTTAAGGTCATGGCAAGACTTGGTAGAACTCTTGTCCCTTTGAAGATCCAGCTTGGAGGTGTTGTCTCAAGGTAATGCGGCACTGGGTAGATTCGATGACCCTCTATCATGTGGCTGGGCGGGGCGTATTCAGGACAGAGGGTATTTTGGGGGTGTGTTCTTTCATGGGATTCGGCATTTTTTCGGGGGTGTTAAACCACAAAGCCAACATCACCGAATTTGAATTCAATCCATGGACCCCGAAACCCCACAAAATGGAGAACTGTTTTGACTTAGACTGTCAAATGAAAATCTCATGTTCGAGGCTTGACATGGCAGCCGACCGTGGAGCCTACATCGATCAGTCCCAGTCCTTGTAGCTTGGTGAAATTCTTTGGGGCTCCCCATCGGCCCCATAGTGGTTCCTTTTTGGAATTACTTTAGGATGCTACATATGAACCCCAAACCGGAACTACTATTGGGCCTATGGGCAACGCAGTGGTGTTTTTGGCAAAAATGACATTCTTTGCTTAACAAAGGGCACAGGGAGGTGATTGAAGTCGGGGATCCCTAGGTCAAGGCTGCTAGGAGCTTCATTGCTCTAGGATATATGGGAGTTTCCGAAAACTAGGGGTGCCTTATCTTGGGGTCCTTATAATATGGATCCTACTATATAGGGTACTATCTTAAGGGCCCCCTGTTTTCGGAAAACCCCATATAGGGAATGTAGGGGCGCCCCATGGCCTGGGTCCCCTCTAGGCCCTAACCTCCAAAAATTCAGCAGGGGTTGTGGGCCCTTTAACGAAGCTCCTCGTATTCACAGGAACCGTCAACACCTAGCCCCGAACTTAGCGGTTTCGGGTCTCGTGCCCAAGATCCCTGAACCCCGACTGCAGCCGAATCCTCGGTCCACGAAGACCACGCACTTAAGCGTCATGAGATAAGGAACATTCACATGGTGGACGTGACCACCGCAAAGCTGTCCTCCATGCACTTCCACGGATGGCAGCTTGGGTTGAAGACAGGACTGCCACTCGGCCGCCTTCACTCTGCATCTCGAAACTGATGAGCTCGAAGCTTTAGCCTTTAGGGTTTTATGGTTTGGGGTGCAAGCTGTGGCTGCTGGGTAGAGGTTGCTCCGGTTGAGGACACTGGATGTTTGCGGTTGTTTTGCCATCTACATGTTGGCCCTGAGCTTTCAAGCCCTACGCCTAATCTACAAAAGTTTAAAGGCCTCAACCCTACACTGTCTTCAGAGGTATTATCTGCGAACCAAAGCCGCGGCGGATGCGATCAAATTCACGGTCGATGTTCCTGGGCTGGCCTGAACTCGTTTACGGCTAAGGGTTTAGGGTTTATAGGGTCATGAGTAGTATCAGCATGCTACGTCTGAGTATTACTGAAAGATACAGCAAAAGTCTTGATGGTTGCTACCACAATCAGGATCACATGCCGTCATGCTCTTTCTGGGGCTGTAAGCTTTTCCTCAGCCCACGGCACCCGAAAGCAACGCGAAGTCATAGCTCTGCCCCCGGCTTAGCCCACACCCTCAACCCTCTGGTTCATCCCAACTGGGAGCTTCCGAAAATAGGGGACCGTAATATAGTACCCTAAATAATAGGAGCCTGGTTGTAAGGACCCCAAAGTTACGTACCCCCAATTTTCGGAAACGCTTCGGCAGATCGTAAGGCTCTTAAAGAGCAAAAAAGCTGAATCCCAATACCCTGAAGCTTGACACCTACGTAGCCTGTGCGTTCCCTTTGTAGCTATAGTATATAGTAGCCCTCAAAAAGCATTTCGAAACTATCGCCCGAAGCGTATCTACCAGGTGAGTCAGATGAAGAAATCCGTCGCCACCGACTCAGACGCATCCACGGCCGCCGCCCCCTCGCCGCCCAAGGACACCGAGGCCCTGGGCTTCAAGTTCAGGGCCTTCCGGGTTTGAGGTGCCACGTTCCTTTAGTGTGTATATATATATATATATATATATATTTTTTTCATTTTTAGTTATTTCTTTATTTATTTATTGTTGTGTTTTGCTGTTTTTCTTGTTGGTGCCCCCTCCCCCCTATACATAAATACAAGGTCTGGAGCTTTCGGGCTATACCATAATCCCCATAGTTTAGGTTCCGTAAGGTAATGCAGGATTTATATCATCAACAGCAGTACGTGATTCTAGATTGACATGGAGCTCCGGACAACTATGGATCTCTTTTGCAGGAGCCCTGTATTATCGATCCCAGGGGAGGTATGTTGTCGAAACCAGGCTTTCCGGAAGCTGGGATGTGGGGCTTACACGGTGATTTGGGCTTATGGAAAGCAGGTCGACTACATGACTGCAATGTGCATTTCTATGATGTGCACTGGAGTGTGCAGTATGTGCCCGAACCACAAACCTGTATACCCTAAACCCTCAACCCCTTTATACCCTAAGCCCTTAGCCCTCAACCCTGTAGACCCTAAACCCTCAACCCTGTATACCCTAAACCTTCAAACCCTTTATACCCTAAAGCCTCAACCCTCAGCCCTGTATACCCTAAACCCGCAACCCTGTATACCCTCAACCCTCAACCCTTTATATATACCCTAAACCCTCAACCCTGTATACCTTCAACCCTCAAAGCTAAACTTTTCAGAACGCATTGATCTTCTGTTTATCGTGTGAGGACGATCGACTCTTCGTCGTCCGTTCAGGGTTGTGCGTATGGATCCCAAGCAAAACACTCTGAGTTCCAAACCCTAAACCTCAATCTGCACCCTGAAAATATGGGAGATTCCGAAAATAGGGGACCCTAATGAGTACCCGAAATCGTAGGATCCTTGTTATAAGGACCCCAAAATAAGGCACCCCAAATTTTCGGAAGCTCCCATATTGAGCTCTAAACCCTAAAGTCTCAAACCCGATAAAATCTTCAAATGGATTCAAAAACTTCGAGAAGTCACGCAAGAGCCAGGCCAAAGCCATAGCAGCGCTGAAGGCTGACCAGCCCAAGTACGAATGCGCAGCTTGATTGCTTGGAGTTTCAGTTTTCAGGATTTTGCGTTTTGGGTTCAGGTTTTATGACTTATAGGGTTTAGGGCATTGGGGTTTAGGATGTAAGGTTCGCTGTTTCGGCCTTGAATCGATAGGAGATGACCCCCATCCAGGATTCAACAGGCCCCAATTCAGGAAGTTCCATGCCCCTCCACCTCAACATGTCTCCAGGATCAACCTCAGATGTCTTGACTGCCAAGACAACTCTGGAGTAAGCTGATGATTGCTGTTCTCGTTTCGAGCAGGTTGTCCCATTCAGACCCTGAGCATGGCGGTGCATTTTTATTGAACTGTCTGTTCTTTTGCCCACCACACCAACCCCAAGTAAACCTACAAGGGCAGATGCAATAGTTGTTGACTTCCCTACGAGGTGTCCGAAGTCATACCCAGGCGGTGAAGACCCCCAGTTTGTTTCCAGCATAGCACAACAGTCTTAAGAAGGAACACCGTGAAACTTAAACCCTGAAAAATGGTGTTTTTTCAGGGCCTCAACGAGCAACCGAGACAGCATGCAGACCAGACGACAAAGGAGGGGGAAACCAGCAATTTTTCCGTGGTGTCGCGGTACAGAGAGGCGAGTGCTGCAGACTTCAGCTTTGACAAAGGAGGGTTTCAGGTTGTAGAGCTTGAAGCGTAGAGGGTTTATGGGGGCCTCCAAAACAGGGTTCGTGGGCCTTAAGCCCCGACTGGAGGAGGTCTGATTTGGTCGGAAGCCGCAAGTGAGTCCTAAACCCGAAACCCGAGACAAAAACCCTAACCCCTAGATCCTAAACCCTCAGTGAGCCGCTTGCGAAAGACCGGCAGCATCAAAATCTCATCCGGGAAGATTGATCGGCTAACGACCTGCTTCAAGGTCATATAGAAGCCTAAAAATTTCCAGTACTAGTTTGGTGGTTCTTTATTACAGGTATATCCCAAAACAGCATTCTAATTATTAAGGCCCCTATGTTAAGGTCCGGTGTTTAGAGCTTCAGATTTGGGCAAAGCTGTTCTAGTGTTTTTGGAGTTTCGGATCCGGGGCTTGTTAACCGCCATGTAACAGAACCAGACCGAACCGTCTAGGACCCTATAGAGCATACAACCACGCTCGAGCATGTACCTACTTGGAGGTTCATGGGTAGTCATACGTGGGGTTATAAGTAGGACTAAGTAGGATGACTATACTTATGACTCATATTAGGGGACTTATAGCCCCACTTATAACTACCCATGATCCTCCAAAAAGTCTGCTTTGGGCTTTTGCTTTGTGATTGAGGTTTCACGACTTCCCTGACATGCTCTCTTCAGCAGTTTCTAGGAAGCTTGGACTTCGTATGGCACCTGGACCTCGACCCGAAAGCTCTACACCCTACCCTAACGCCCCAGAGTAGTTCCTTTTGCGGGTTCACATTTAGAATCCTGTATGGTAATCCCAAAAAGGAACTACTTTGGAGCCTATGGGTAGACTCATCGACCTGGCCCTACAAGCTCCATGGCATTCACTGAGAGCCTCAAGCCATACAGCTCCTAAGCACCCAGAACAGTCAGCGTTCAGAGCTTATTACCCCAAGCCATAAACCCCAAACCCCGAGAACCTAAACTCCCATTCTTTAGGCGTCTTGCCTGACGTCAGCCCTGAGGTAAATTGCAGTGCCTGAGGCTCTTTGAGCTGTACAGGTCTAATTGAGTGCAATGATGAATGGGGGCGCGCGCCGCAGATTTTGGACTTTCAGGTGCAGGGATTTGTGGATTAGATTCAGGCATGACAGATTCAGGGTTTTCGGGCGTTTAGGGTTCATTATTGAGGCTCTAGGAGTACAGCTCTCAGCAGTTAGGAAACACCACTATAACATCCACTAACACCTCAGAAAATAAGGAGCTGCATGAACACCCGGGGGTTAGGGTGCAGCCTTTTTTGCAAACGGGAGTCCATAAAGGAGCGCCATGCTTACGGCTCGTGGAATACCGACCGCGAGACGCGCAATGAAACCAACACTTCCAGCCCTACCGTCTGAACAAAAGCCGTAGAGACCCCTTATATCCCAAGCCTGCCAAGCAAAGACCTTGCGAACACGATGACTGATACCTTCGAAGTCGTCTGTGGGGTCTGAATGATGGGTGAAATGAGGGATGTTATCCCCTTTTGGCTCTCATATATAGTTCGTGTAACATACCGAATCTACATGAATCCAACCCAACCCGATTCTCTGGTTATTCGGGCAGATGCTGCCTAAACGCTAAGCCTAATTCCTGAACCCGGAACCCGAAACTCCAAATCCTAGAACCACAGCCCTAAACACAGAACCGTAAACCCTAAGACATTGAACCTCAAACGTTACACGTTAATGTTTGTATACTTAGTGGGGGAGCTCTTCCTCGTGTTGATAAACACGTCGGGTTTCAGGAGGTTGAGATGTCGCTGTGGCTGTGGCCGTTCCGTGTTGCGGTAGATTTGACGGTGGGGTTCAGGGTATGGGGATACTTGTCGCAAAAGCCCTGCTTCATGTGGCTCCATTGTGGCGAACGCCTCTGTTGAGCAAAGCTTTAAACGGCTCGGAGTCTTAACCATAAACCGTTCCAAATTCCTAAGCCCCCCTAAACCCTCTACTATATACTGTCCTAATCCCTAGACCCCTAAACTGCCCTATAAACTTAATCCCTTAGCCGTGAACCCTAAAGACCGCATCAAACCCTGCAGCCGCAGTTGGAATAAACATCGTTTCAAGTCGAAGATCTACATCCTGAAAAAACGGTTGAAACCGGAACGCTAAGCTCACTAGTCCGTCACGTATCTTATGATTTAGGTGTATGGGTTTTGGGTTTGGGGTTCATTTTAGCATACCAAGGCCTCTGTTTTGATTTGTCTGCAGGGTCTGGAGATGTCTTGGTACATAATATAAACTCCAAGAAAGGGAGTATAGGTGGCCACCAGGACCTACGTTTCTTGGTATTGTGAAACCCAAACCAGAAAGTACAGGGGTGCTGCACAAAGCTAGGTTATGCCAGGGCATTCTGACCCTGGAGGCCCTAGAAACTAGCGAAGCGTGCCCTCAAATTTGCGGAAGCGTCAGCTGACCCGGCTTACCTGCGCCGAAACCCTAACAGAGTCTGATAGATTCAGAGATGCCCTCCCAGGCCACAGGTGGGTTTTGAAGTGCAGCTGCTTGCAAAGTCCTTTGCCCGCCGTCTTCCTCATAAATTTGGACGAAGAGGTTTGGTGGTTGGGGGTTTAAAACTTAAGGTTCAGAATTAGGACTTGCTTGAAGAGGCTTGGGTTTGGCATAGGTGCAGAATTGAGGGTGTAGGATTCGGAAGAAGGGCATTCCTCTTCTTCCAACGAGGAAGTCGCGGCTAATTCGATGGTGAACCGCCGGTGTCGAGGGGCCTGTGCCTGCGCACAGCAAAGGAGTGCAAAACACCTTGCAAACCTCTCTTCGCGCGGTCCTTGGCGGAATAGCTCCACACGGATCAATCTTCTATCTTCATACTCCACAAAGCCACCCACAAGCCAACCTCCGACGCCCTTTTAGCACTCACAGCCAATATACCCTCTACCCAAACATTCACCGTCCGGTGAAACAGCTGTCTGAGGGTCGAAAGTGCTCTGGGAGCAGACAACCGGTACTACAGGGGCCTTGACGATTAGAATTGTGTGTGTGTGTGTTTGTTTTTGGGGGCGGTTTGTTACATTACAATTTCCTGTAGCTACAATAAGGAACCCTAAGCAACAAGCAACAGCACGCATTGGTAATGATTCATGACGCCTTGGGCTGTCGACCTATGTGGAGCTGCCTCTGCCTTGTTACATAGGGATTCTCTGCGGGGTTCCCAGACAGACTATAAATATCCCGTCCTGACAGAACTCCTTTCAAACCAGCTGAACTTCACGAGGACCTAGAATAGGCCCTTGTTCCCTTTTTTAGGGTTCAGGTTCCCTTATAAGCCCCTTTAAACCAAAAAGGGCACCCTTTTTATTCCTAGGATACTCTTGGGTCTAGTTCAAGTTCAGACTTCAAAAGCTGAGCCCCAAAACCTTCGACTGGGCCGGGCTCGGGGATTGAATCTTCAAGGGTTTAGGAGGTTAGGGCTTAGGGCATGTACGAAACCCCTGTAAGGCATTTAAGGTCGACTTCTGTAAACACTATATAATTATATCCCCCGCAGTTAAACATTCAAGGAATCTTGGGCCAACTGGGTTCTCCCTTTTCGGGAATGCGGCTGAGAGCAGGGGATCAACGCATCTCAGTCCTGTCTTCCTTCGAAGTCACCGACTTCACCTGTGTTAGGATCTCGGTTGCTTTGACTCATCTCCTGGTTTCGAGCGGTCGGGGAAGGTTTCGGGCCAGAGTTCGGGTTTAGGGTTAGGTTTGCAGGGATTTTTCCGGGCTTGCCGTTTGCTTGGATTTGGAGGTACGATCGGGTGTTTTCTGCCTGCTGAAGGCACTGCCTGCGGCTGCGAGTGCTGAGAAGCATCGTGTTCTCTGCGCCCATTCGGAGGACGCCTGTCGCAAAAAAATCGGTTAAGCCCATGAGCCCTAAACTTAGACCCCTAGATCCTAACGGTCCTAACGTGTTCGCTTTACAAGGCCTCGGACGTTCGCCATGGTTGGCGTGTTGAATGTCCCTAAGCCCAAGGTCCTTTGGCTTGAGGTGTAGGATTTAGGGCTTACGGCAGGTTGAGATGTGTGTGTGTGTGTGTGTCTTTGTCTGTGTGTGTGTGTGTGTGTGTGTGTCTGTGTGTGTGTGTGTCTGTGTGTGTGTCTGGTGTGTGTGTCTGGTGTGTGTGTGTGTGTCTGGTGTGTCTGCGTGTGTCTGTGTGTGTGTGTGTGTGTGTGTCTGTCTGTGCGTCTGTGTGTCTGTGTGTCTGTGTGTCTGTGTGTGTGTGTCTGTGTGTGTGTCTGTTTCTGTGTCTGTGTCTGTGTCTGTGTCTGTGTCTGTGTGTGTGTCTGTTTCTATGTCTGTGTCTGTGTCTGTGTCTGTGTCTGTGTCTGTGTCTGTGTGTGTCTGTGTGTCTGTGTGTCTGTGTGTCTGTGTCTGTGTCTGTGCGTGTGTCTGTGTCTGTGTGTGTGTGTGTGTCTGTGCGTGTGTCTGTGTGTGTGTGTGTGTGTGTGTCTGTGCGTGTGTGTCTGTGTCTGTGTGTGTGTCTGTGTCTGTGTCTGTGTCTGTGTCTGTGCGTCTGTGCGTCTGTGCGTCTGTGCGTCTGTGCGTCTGTGCGTCTGTGCGTCTGTGTCTGTGCGTCTGTGCGTCTGCGTCTGCGTCTGTGTCTGTGTCTGTGTCTGTGTCTGTGTCTGTGTCTGTGTGTCTGTCTGTGTGTCTGTCTGTGTGTGTCTGTGTGTGTGTGTGTGTGTGTTGTGTGTGTTGGTGTGTATTGGTGTGTGTGTGTGTCGTGTGTGTGTGTGTGTGTGTGTGTGTGTGGTGTGTGTGTGTGTGTGTGGGTGTGTGTGTGTCTGTGTGTGTGTGTGTCTGTGTGTGTGTGGTGTCTGTGGTGTGTGTGTGTGGTGTGTGTGTCTGTGTGTGTGTGTGTGTGTGTGTGTGGCTGTGTCTGTGTGTGTCTGTGTGTGTGCTGTGTGTGTGTCTGTGTGTGTGTGTCTGTGTGTCTCTGTGTGTCTCTGTGTGTCTCTGTGTGTCTCTGTGTGTCTGTGTGTGTCTCTGTGCGTCTGTGTGTGTCTCTGTGTGTCTCTGTGTGTCTCTGTGTCTGTGTCTGTCTCTGTGTCTGTGTTTGTGTGTGTGTGTCTGTGTGTGTCTGTGTGTCTGTGCGTCTGTGTGTGTCTGTGTGTCTGTGTGTGTGTGTGTGTGTCTGTGTGTCTGTGTGTCTGTGTCTGTGTCTGTGTCTGTGGGTGTGTTTGTGGGTGTGTTTGTGGGTGCGTCTGTGTGTGTCTGTGTGTGTCTGTGTGTCTCTGTGTGTGTCCGTGTGTGTCTGTGTGTGTCTGTGTGTGTGTGTGTGTGTCTGTGTCTCTGTGTGTGTTTGTCTGTCTGTTTGTCCGTCCTTCCATCCCCGTCCGTCCGTCTGTTTGTCTGATATTAAGGCCGAAAGACCTCCACCACACCAGAACACTGAAGCCCACACCCCCGGGATCTGTGGCCCCCCCAAACAAACCAAGAAACACACGACCGAGCCTTGAACCCAGGAAGATCCCTTTATACCTGATAGAATCTCGTAAATGATCTCCGTCTGATATACGCCATTTACGCTATAGTTCTGAATTTCCGGGGGTGGAAGCTATGTCAAGGCCATTTGTTCTTCCTTGCCCCCCGAAAAATGCAGACTATGGTTAGGACGTACATCCTAACCCCTAGAAGCCCGAAACCCTCATGTTAATCATCATTGTAGGTGGAATTTTGAACTGGTATCAAGAACTAAGGGTCTAGGATTTAGGGTTCAATGGGTTGCCCTATCCTAAAAATCAAGAACAATTGTCGTTTGGTATTTAGTTGTTTTGGGCTCCAGGGGTTTTGCCCGGACCTCCTACTTCTATGATTCTGTGTGCTGTTCTATCGGTTGAGGGTTCAGGGTGTGGTACACTGTGGAGCTTCAATGCTTGAGGAGTCTTCATGAGATCACCCCAAAGCAATGAGTCCGCAATGCTCTCAGCCGAGCGGTCCAAGCTAGGCTCACACCCATCCTTCCCATACCTTGCCGCACCTTCCTAGCGATGGCGACATATTTTGCTATGCCAGCAGCTTCGGCGACCGAAGAAGGCACCTTTCTTGCCCGGATCTGTGAACACATGATTTTGGAGTGTTCGTCAATCTTTGACCTGTCGAAAGTCGGGGCAGTGATCCTACACCTGAAGCCCGCACATTAAATCCCCTTGAAACCCTGAACCCTAAAGCCTAAACCAAGCATGATGCCGAGGTCAATCCTTGGGATGGATGCCACCGGTGGCAGCCCCACACCACTGGGGGTGCACCCCAAGCCAACAGGCGGTCACATTCCCCTTCCTTTGGCCTCGCAATATTCCTCCACCGCCAGGCCTTCAGATTCCAGAAGTGCCTCAGCCGGTGCCAACCCCTGGCCAACAGACAGTCAAGTTCGCAGTCTCTCGCCCTCACAATACTCCTCCTCCGCCAGGCCTAGAGATCCCAGAAGTGCCTGAGCCCAGTGCTGCCAACTTACGATTTGGCGTAGGCAGTTTCGGGCACCCGCACTTTTGCACCAGACCATGCGTGCACATCTCCAAGGGTGGAGAGTGCCCATCGGGAGCGGAATGCACTTACTGCCATTTCCCACACCGTGCGGTTTGCAAGCCAGACGGGCAGCTACGCCGGCGTCTCTGGGATGCAAGCGACCAGGAACTTCTCGCGACCTTCCTGCCCTTCATCTTCAAGAAGGCAGCCAGGTAGGCCTTTGGGATACTTTCTATTTCCCCTTATTGGGCTTAGAAGAGCATCTAGATGTGTTCAGATGCTTTTTTGGGGCCAACCTAGGCAGCGATGGAAGGCCTCGTTCCCCGCGTCGCCTGCTTGCTCCAGCTCCTCAAGGCGGAAATCGGCGAACCGCAATCCGAACCCCTCCCCCTCGGGAGGTTTCGGCCGATGAGGATGTCATTCATGCATCTTGGCTACACAGAGGCTCCATAGTAGTTCCTTTTTGGGGTTCGCATATAGAATCCTGTCAGGTAATCCCAAAAAGGAACTACTTTGAAAGGAACTACTTTGGAGCATCCTGGCTAATGTAGGAACCTGATTAAAAAACCTGGCCCTAGAACCCCCAAAATAGTAGGATTCATAAAAGGAACCCCCTCAAAAAAGACCTTAATCAGGTTCCTACATGAGTTGGACGGTGCAAGGCTTCACTTCGGAAGTTATATCCTAGTCGGAGGGTGTGCGCATCTGGAAGTTTTTGGGGAGGCTACGGAAGCCCGTCAGATCATGAAAGCCGAGGCATCTGGTTGAGAGCTGCATGCGCCGGCTTCCCCCCCATGTCCGAGCCGAAGTAAATCGCATCAAGTCGGAGCTCCCACCTCCTGTTGTCACGCTTCCAGGCTGCAGTATTCGGGCCACACAGTGACTAGCAGTCTCACGAGCAGCATCTCGAGAGCTCTTTGTTCGTGTTTTTTCCCTCTCTCTCTCTCTGTCTCTGTCGCTCTCTCCTCCCGGTTTGCATTATGTAACTGTAGCTTCTCTCCTCTTGTTGCTATTGCTTGAAGCTGTTGGTCTTGCCACTGCCACGGCTACAATCGGTTGGATACTATTATATTCATTATCGGGAGCACGCTCTGCAAAGGCATGGCGGAGCGGGACCATCTCTCATGCTGTAGACGAACTGAGCTGACGCTCTGATGGGCGGTAGTGGATCAACATTCTTTCAGCGCTTCTGGCTTTTTTGCTTTCGGATGGACTACCGGTAGCCCGTAGCCCTACACAATAGTCGATTATGACCGCTTTACTCATAGGGTACAGCTTGGAACAGCACGTTTTGGGATTCCCGGATCGGGATGGCTTTGCTGCTGAGGGTTGAGGGTCAGGCTTCGTGGTTTCCTGGCAGCCCGGCCCAAACCCTGCTGGACAATCCCTAAAGCGATGAAAGTACCGTGCAGGGGAAGTGAAGTTTGGATATGGGGTTTACGGTTTACGCGTGTCGAGCTCTGCTTTTCTTTTTCCAACGTTTTGAGAAATCAAGGTTTCCGACAGCATCCGCCGGATTTTTCTGGTGGCTGCCGATCTTGAAAGGAACATGGAGGTGTGGGATCCATCGTTTCAGGACCCCGAATGAGGCCCGAAACCCCCAAGCCCTATACCCCATCTCTCACTTCAAGACACTCCCATATGATGGGTTAAACCCGAGAGTTCGCTTTCCAGACCTTGGCTTGGCGAAGGGAAAAGGGACGTCTGAACGAGTTATATGCAGCCTGATTATTCATTCATCGTTCCGACAGCAGCCAGAAGTGTCGGGAGTGGTTGTTTCGGTCCTGTCTTCGGGCAGCAGACAGCAGCCAGTTCCGCAGGCAACTGCCAGGACAGCAGGCCTTTCTGTGCTCGTTGCAAAAATAAGCCTTACTTAGTACTAGTTGGGGCCTTTCCTCATTCACCGCGTCACGGCCCATTCACTGTACTTGCGGGCACCTCCGACTAGGACCCAGAGTAGGCCCTTGTTCCCTTTTTTTAGGGTTGAGGTTCTCTTTTCTCCCCCTTTAACCCCAAAAAGGGCACCCTTTTATTCCTAGGTTACTCTTGGGTCCAGCTTTACTACAGGGGCCTTAATACTTAATAATTAGAATGGGGTTCCCTTTAAAGGGTTCCCCTTAAAGGGGTCTGTAGGGTCCAGTCGAGCTGTGGAATCGGAGCCGCAGAGAAGCACTGTCCCAGCATGCCCTGCTCATGTGCCGCGAGTGCGAGTGGTGGCCTCACCCTCGCTCAGTGGCTGTCCCTCCGTAGATGATTTTTGTTATGACTGTTAGGATTACTACCCACAGGCCCCATAGTACTTCTTTTTGGGGATTTCCTTAATAGGATTCTACATACGAGTCCAAAAAGGAACTACTATAAGGCCTATGGGGACAGTAGCTGTTCCTCAGCAATCTATTTCTGTTATGATTACTAAGCGAGAAAGAGACAGCCAGTTCAGTAAGTTGCCTGGAACGCGAATATATGGGAGTTTCCGAAAACTTGGGGTACCTTATTTGGGGGTTCTTATAATAAGGATCCTACTATTTAAGGTACTATATTAGGATCCCCTATTTTCGGAAACTCCCATATGTGCCGACTTCATCCTCCCGATCCGCTTGCTATCTGCGGTCGAACCGTCGCTCTCCCAACCTGCTGAGTTAGGGATAAGGGTTTAGGGAGGGTTTCAGGGTTTATAGTCTAAGCCTGTGATGTGCAGTTGGTCGCTTCAGGGAAAGTTGTACCTTGACCTACCAAACCTACTTTTTCGCTAGGGTCCTGGTAGGGTTTATAGCAGGAACCTATAAAGAGTAGCTTATGGCAGCTTAAGGTCGACACAGGATTGCAGGTTGGGAAGCGCTCCCAGCCAGTCGGTGATCTGTTGTTTCACGCTCTGTTGCCTGAGCTCATTGTTTAAAGAGATCATAGTCACGGATCGGTATTTAAGATGGTCCTTTATTCGCCTTGAACCTCAATGCCGTCGTTGATCCGCGCTGCTTCGCGGTGTTGCCTTGCCTACCAATGTTTGTCGGGACCATGTTGACAGACCTGCCTTTCCAGTGCTTGCATTGAGGTTTCAGCCGTCGCTTTCGATTGATGACATCCTCCGTCGTGAGGTCTTTTCCGGTCGCTTCAGCTGCGCAAAATGTTTAAGCATCATGCGCAGAGGTTGCACGGTGTTTGCAGCAACATGTTCTGACTCTCGAACTTCAATAATGTCAACTCATGATGTCGACGGGCTGTATGGCGAATCAAGAACTCGACACTCGGGCTTTTCCTTGGTTTTTGAGTCTCTGCAATGTTGCTAAACATCTAATCGTCTGTACACTCTCGAAATGTCTCTCTGTCTCGGGAAAGGGCTCTGGATGCCGGGATCCATGAGTCAGATCCCGAGTTAGGGCTAAAATTCGCATGCATCGTGAGAAGAGGAAAGTGCCACGTTGCCTCGCAATCTGCTTGAGTCTTATATTATACTGCTTAGGAGCTTCACCCCTACAACCCCTAAGTCCCCTTGAACACCCTTATATTCAGATGACCGCTGGACAGTTCAACAATCGTTTGGCTGGGAGGTTGCACATCCGTTGAACGTGCTCATCAGCTTGGAAACTCCCGGCGAACCCTTACACACGACATTTCACAGGGCCAAAGACTAGTCCGCACACAGGACGTTAGCACAAGGTGGCAACTTCCTTTAGCATACTCTTCAATTTCCATAGTGTGTGTGGGTGTCGATTCGCATTTTTGTGAGCCTGAATAACAGGGCTGGCAAACATCTGAGACACACCTAGCCAGGCTAATACGTGGCGGGTAATCCGCAACCCTCCCTCCTGCAACCCTGAGCCCCAAACACCATAATGCCTTCAACTAGAACGCAACTCCCTCTAGTTCATGAAGCTCCTCAACCCTGTAAGTGTTCCTGGACCCTGAAGCTTTTGAGCCGTTACCCTAAGGCTCCATAGTAATTCCTTTTTAGGGTTCATTTTTTTAATCCAGTAAGGTAACCCCGAAAAGGAACTACATTGGAGCCTTCTCCTGGGTCCCAGGGCCTGGGAGTGCCATGAGCAGCATGGACGCCCGCGGCGTGCCGAGCCCGCCGAAACGGTCACTCCCTGCCAGCCCTGGGATGGCGACTGGGCACTGGGGTTTAGGGTTTAGGGGGTTAGGGTTCGGGGTTCAGGGTTTAGGGGTTTAGGGTTAGGGGTTGGTTTATCCATAGGCCCCATTGTAGTTCCTTTGTTTTATAGGATTCTACACCATCACTCACGGGTAGCATGACGGTTCTGTAAAGGTTTGGGTTTAGGATTGAGGGCCTTGCAAGCCGAAAGCAGAACCAAGCAAGGTTTAGGGGTTTAGGAATTCAAGGTTCAAGGACAAGCCCTAAGTTCTGGCTCTCGCGGGGATGAAGCTTCTAGTCAGCAAATCTGAGCTCTTGGTAAGGGGACTCCTGAAGCTATCGGTACCTGCAAGCATCACAGCTTGATGTGTTAAACATCACCTTCCTACTACTGTGCAGCAAATTTCCGTCCATGCTTCACCCCTTCCCTGCCAAGTAGATGTCGCTGTACCCTAAGCCATACCCATCGGCCCCATAGTAGTTCCTTTTTGGGATTACCTTATAGGGTTCCACATACGAACCCCAAAAATACGAACCCCAAAAAGGAACTACTATGGGGCCTATGGGGAAACCGTATGAGGAGATGGCACCTGCCCTTGATCTGGAGCTTCGGGAGCTTCTGGAGAAGTTGCACAGGGAGGTGATACAACGCTTCGACAAGCAGGTGCCTTCATCTGCAAAAAACACATCTAGGGTTGAGGGTCTTGGTGCTCAGCTCTGTCTTGTTGATCAGATTTCGTGCGAAAGCCGCATGTTGTTAGCCCTCAGCTGTTCAGGCGGACTCGCAGGAACTTTGGCTCCTCTGCCAACACATGGGGCCACCTTTTACATGAGAACTCCGAACCCTCTTCGATGAAAAAACGCCGATGAGCACACGCCAAATTCGATCGTGCAGTCGACGAATGCCTTATGCCACCCATGGGGCTGGGGGCAGGCAACATCAGCTGCTACACATGAACAGGCGGCGTACACCTGAAGTACGAACATGCAAGGCTGGCAAGCAAAGGGACACGCAAGTCTGCAGTGATCAACGAGGGTTGCGGTGTACCTCGGCAGGCCACCAAACCCTAAGGCAAACACCCCCATGATGCAGGCAATTATCCTGAATGTTGCTATCTTGTAGTCTCATTGACGGAACCATTCGCTGCTATCGAAAAGCATCATCAACTTGCTCAGGGCTAGAATCTTGAGGCTTGGGAATCGCCCTGGCCCATGGTGGTAGTTTAGATGCCGTTTGTCTTATCACAAGGCAGCTCGCAATAGAGCCCGGAATTCGGATGCAAGGCTCGGGGAGGTTTCCACCGGCTCTGCATCTTGAACACCGAAATATCAAGAGTTGAACCAGGGGCAAGGCTCAATGAAACAACCTCTGAACTCGAACGCGCATGTGTGTGTGTGCGCGCATGCATACAGATATACGTTTGTGTGTGTGTGTGTGTGTGTGAGACTATGTATTTCGCATGAATGCTGTATGTATGTATGGCTATGTATGTACGTATGTAACTTTGTATGTACGTAACGTGTGTATGCATGGATGTCTGTAGTTAGGTACGTAGGTAGGCATGTACGTATGTATCTTTCCGTGTGTGTGTGTATATATATATATATGTATACTCATCTACATCTACACCTACTTGTATGTCTGTGCATCTATGCACCCGTACACCTATAGATCTATACATAAAGACGACTGTACATCTATACATTTATACCTATATAATATACACTCACGTCTATGCACGAACGGAGATGTCCATCTGTCCATCTATCTATCTATCTAACTATCTATCGTCTGGCATCATTCGGCCCAAATCCTGGAAGCCTGCCCAGCCACAAACTCCTCAGACCAGGAAGACCTGATTCGGCGAGAGCATCTCCGGCGACCCGACGTGATCTCACTTGCGAGATCACACTCGCCCCCGTCGGGGCCCCAATCACCCCTTTCAGCGCCTCAATCGCCTCGGCTCTCTCCAGTCCGGGAAATGCAGGAGAGGTGCTGCTTTCCTGATGCTGCTTTCGCATTTTTGCCGGGGAAGGTTCCAGGGCCTTTTTTCTTCAGGTAGTGCACGGAAGCCTGGTTAAATAAAGCTTGATGGATGTATGCATGGGTGGATGGATAGGCAGCCAGAGCTAGAGAGGTAGACGGGCAGATGGCAGAGATTAATAGACAGGTAACTATGCATATGGAGTGATATCAGGAAGTAGTTGTAAGCGACCCGCGGATGTCTACCTGGTACCTCATGCATCCTCCCTGACAGACAGCCCTAAACCCTTAACCCAAGACCCCTAAGCATTAACAGCCTCAAACCCCGAAGTTCGATCCCAAGGCATTCGTCTTCAACCCGGAAAGCTGTAACGCCTAGAGCTTCCAACCCGGACGTCTCAGCTGACCGTTCAAACTTCCAAAGCCCCTGGCCCGAAACGCTAAACCAGGGAGCTCCCCGCAAGCCTGGACCCATCCAAGCTTGCCTTGTCCCGGATGTGAGATCACAAACGCGACACCTCTAGTCACAAGCGGTCCAGGGCTTGATATCTGCGTGGTTTTAGGGCTAAGATCTACTGCAGAACCCTGAGCAATCACTAACATAGTTCCTTGGGCTCTTAAGGCAACGCGTATTACAAGTTACCCCCCGACACCCTGATCGAATTTGAAAGGCCCCTGAGTGTTGAATCCGATGGGTTTTATCGCCCCCCTGCAATCCCCGGCACTGTGAGGTGCAGAGGCCAAAAACCAGCACCCAAACACCACCCTCGTAGCGATGCCCGAAATGAACCGCCGAAGACGTCCCTTACAGGATTCTACACATGAGCCCTAAAAAGGAACTACTGTGGGGCCTCTGGGTACTAAAGTCATACAGCCCGAGACCCCCTGCAGCAAAGAAGGAGGAATCCGAGACTTCGACAACGAAGCCTCGAAGGTCGAAGTATTCGCAGAGTGCGGACAAGGCGAACCGAAGTTCCCGTCTAGCGTTCCTTTGCAGGAAGGTACCCTGTGGGGGCCCTGTTTTTCCACATACAAGGCTTTGCGATCCACCGTTAAGGGCTTTTAAACTTCTGTGCCGAAAAGGATGAGAATGGGGCTTTGAGGGGTATATTCTTGTATACATGTGACAGGGGGCTGCAAGCCCGTGCGGCTGCCGATGATTTAGAGCTCCATCGCCTCCCCCTAAAATCAAAGAGTGCCCCCGTCCCAACAAAAACTCGAAAAGTGCGCTTATTACTAGAGGAGTTCTATCTCTCTTGTCGCTTTTGGGGGATCTTGCTCTTGCTCCCGCCCTGGCTCTTGATCCTGTGCTGGCCTGCTCCTGCTGCGTCTGTTGCTCTTGCTCCTGCACTTGCTCTCGCTCCTGTCCTTGCTCTGGCTCCTGCCGCTGCTATTGCTCCAGCTACTGCTCTTGCTCCTGCTCTTGCCGTTGTCCCACTTTGTTCTTACTCCTGCTCTTGCTCGAACTCCTGAACCCGTGTGTTTGGGGTCACGGGTGAGCTTGTAAAGTGTATGAACGTGTTCACTGCTGGCAGAACTCATCGTTTCCGATTCCAACAGCTTGAGCAGATGCAATACACCTTAAACCCCAAAGCCGAAAACCCTAAATTTAAACCGGTAAACCCTGAAGACCTTTGGCTTGACGGTCGAATTCTCAGAGTAGGTTGGTAGCTGACAATGACCGAAACCTCAAACCCAACCCAAAACTTGCACGCTTGCTGCCTTGGACCTTAGTTTACGGTATAGCGGCGCTGCTAGGGTAGAATGGATTGGTGTTCCGCATGTCGGGTTTCGGAAAGTTTGCGGTTGAAAAGATGAGCCCCGCAGAATCAGACGGTGACACCACCCTTGAAAGAGTAATGCGAAGCCTGGGGAAGGGTAGGCTTTTAGTCAAGCTTGCACTGGTGTTCAGAGCAAACGCACACACTAAACTCTAAACGAAAAACACTAAGCCCTAAACCTTGAGGGTGGTACACCCGCGACCCTCAACCTCGGCGAAGCGAGCGAGCCCCCGCAAATCCTGGTGTAGACGGTGAAGCCCAAGCCTGACCTTCGCAGCCCCACCGGCCTTCCTATCGGCCCTATTTCCACACTTTCACGCAGGCCGAGTGGTACAGGGTTTCAGCGTTTGTGGGGTTCGAGTCGGGTTGAGAGGGTAAGAATTGGATTTTGGGGTAGAGCGCAGGGCTGTGCTACCCGGTTACCCGTGGGAGTTTCTTTTGGGTTTTAGTCCTGCAGTTTGTTCAAGAAGGTTTGGAGTCCCAAGACACCTAATGATTAGGGTGTATTGACCCACATCTCCTTGAAGATTGGCAGTAGAATCACTGTTGCACCCCTGATCCTGGAAGGTTTTTTGGTTTTTCTCATCAGGGGCTTGCACCAAGACTCACATTCCATTACAGTCCAAGTCCCATAAGCCCTAGTTGCTGAAGTCAGCACGAGCTGATCCAAAGGTTCTTGTGCAGGAGGGACCATCGCTTAATATTGAGATAGGGACCAAACATGGAAAGTTCATATTGCTTTACGGCGATGGATTTCTGGTATATTGATGGCTTGATTTGCTGAGTCTGGTTTTGGCAACTGCCATTTCTTCAAAGCGGCTCAGGTGGCTGTCCGAAACGCTGTGTGCGAGCCTTTCTTCTCATGCTTAAACTCCAGGCCATAAGGTAAAAGCCAGAAAGTTGGAATATGATTATCCTAACCCTTCTATGGTAAATTATAGGGTATCCTACCATGAAACCATATTCCAACTTTCTGGAGTTCCCTGTAAGGCGATATGCAGGACCATGAGCCCCAATGCCTGACTCTCGAGCTCGGTACTATTTGGGGTTTCCTTATTATCGCTATAGTATAATAAAATATACCCCCAAACCTTATTCTAATTATTAAGGCCACTATACTATGAAGGTACGGCCCTCTGGATCCTCCAACTCCACGCACCTGTGACCTCCTAGACCTCGAACTGCTGACACTTACTCAACCAGGCATCCTAAGCTCTACCCAAGCAAACCCTAAACCCGAAATAAGGCCAAAGCCCTAGGTCACCCAAACCAAAACCTCGAACCTTTAACCCTGAACCCGAAATAAACATCTGACCCCTTAACCCTGTCTGTCCCACAACCTCACCTACAGGGTCTTAGTGCGCGTATAATGTTTTTGGCCCTGAACGTGTATACACGCATGTACATTACCCATAGGCCCAATAGTAGTTCCGTCTTGGGATTACCTTATTATAAGAGTCTACATATGAACCCAAAGGAACCACTGTGGGGCCTATGGGTATGCATCATGGGATAGTTCGAAACATCCCTAAGACTTGAACCGTAACTACTTGGAGGTTCATGGGTAGTTATAAGAGGGGTTATAAGTAGGGTAACTATACTTATAACTCGTATTGGGGGACTTATGACCCTACTTATAACTTCCCATGAACCTCCAAGTAGCTGGCATCCCATCTGCGGGCTCCAGACGCAACGGTAGAGGGGAGAAAGCGCTTCAACAAGGAATGTGTTATTGTTACTGCTCATGCGACCATGAGTCTACGACTACCAATCCTGTCTAGTACCACTATTCATCTCTTATTTATGATCACTGCGATTGAGTTATAAACTATAAACCCTATAACCCTAAACCCTAAACCCTAAACCAAAACCCACCTTTGCAGGCGGATTTGGCTTTGAAGCAGCGAGCTGCTGATGTGGACAGCAAGCGAACGCGGCGCCTTTTTCAGGTCTCTTCCTGCCCCTAAACGGTTTAGGGTTTAGAGTTTAGGGTTTAGGGTTTAGGGTTCCATGGAGAAACGAAACATACCGTATTCCGACTGTAGCAGGGACGAAAAGGGCCCTCAAAAAAAAGTGTGGGCTTAACAGGGTTTATGGCTTTGGGGTTTGTTGGCGGTCGTTGGGGATTCAGGGTTTCGGGCAGTTATAGGGTTTGGGGGGTTTAGGGTTCATAAGGGGTTTAGGATTTACTTACCTTTGGTTAGTAGGGAATGGTAGAATGGTAGTCATAGTAGTCATAATTCCCCATTCTTCCATTCCGTACTAACCAAAGGTAAGTAAGGGGGAGGGGATTTACGGATCCAAGGTTTTTTTTTGGGGGGGGCGGGCGCGGGCGGGTGGCGAGTGGCATTTAGAGGCTCTTTCATAGCGCTTCACGGAGTCTTTCGCATTTGTTGGAGTACTGTTGCAATCGCTTTGTAAAGCCAAGGTGAAATTAAACATGATATGTTGGCGCAAAGGGCTTCTTGCAAAAGAGGTTCTTCTTCTGTACTCAGATTGGGTTTTTGTCTGTGTCAAGAAGGGCTTTGGGTTTGAGGATTTAATGTAGGAACCTGATTAAGAAACCCTGGGCCTAAAACCCCCAAATAGTAGGATTCGTAATGAGGACCCCTAGGCTTCTTAATTCAGGTTCCTGCATTACAGCGTCTGGGGTGCAAGGCTTTGGGGTTTCGTTAGGCCTCAGGTTGTCAACCTAGATTTCCCTCAACCCTAAACCCTAAACCCTAAACGCTTGAGGTGTTGGGTTTAGGGTTTCGGTTTTGGGGTAGGTCTTAGGATCCCCTAAACTCCCCTAAAGCTTAATAAAACTTCAAGCCGAGGTTTCCAAAACCATAAAAGCCCCGAACCCGTCAAGAATGCCGCCTCCTAGCTTTTTGCTCACATGGGCGGTTGTCAGAATGATGGTCCCTTTTTTGGGTCCCTAAAATATTCGGTGCCGTATTATAATAGGGACTTAAAAAGCGACAATAAATTTGATAACCACCCACATCTTCGGGGCCTACCGGGATTCTCGGATCTTCCTCTTCCTATCGCCCTGGAGAACCTGTTTCTTTAGTGTGACGGCATTTTCCCTAGCTGTGGGAAGTAAAACTTCTTTATCTATATCGGATCTGGAATCACTGCAGATTGCGCAGTTCACCTCTAGATATTGGTGGTGATGATGATCGTAATGATTCGCTTGCTTCTTTTGTTGATGGTTGTGGTGTTGGAGGTTGGGATGGCGGGGGGGGGGCCTGCAGTGGCACCTGCAAATCGTGCTCATGGTACTGGCAATTAGCGGCGATAGCAAACCAGCCACAACTAGGCCAGAGCATATGCCCTGACCCCTAAACCCTGAAGCCCAAAATCTAAATAAACCCTAAACCTTGAAAACAACCCTAAACCCTAAACCAAAAAGCCCTAAACCGTTAAAACACCCGAAAACCTTCCCCAAGCGATGAGAAAGCACGCAGCATCCAGCGCTCGTTGGGAGGCCAAGAGCTCCCTGGAAGGTATCGAGCACGACGAGAGGCCTTGATACCCTGAACCCCAAAGTGGGTTCTTGTTAAGGATATTAAACCTGTACTTTACCATAATGGGGATCTACATGGGGCTTCCTTACTATGGCATCTTAGATTGCATACATGCCTTAACAAGAACCGCGTAAACGGGGTTCAGTCGCGTACCTTCGTGGGCCCTACTGTTTGGGCTTACTGTTCTTTGTTGACAGGGTTTAGGGGTGAGGGCATAGGGTTATTGAGCGTTTAGGGCCGAGGCTTTTGGATGCTTTAGGGTTCGGTTTAGGATTTAGGGTTCGGGCCTAAACGCTCTGCCGCACCCCAATCTTTTCGAGTTCCGGGCCCGCTCGGTGAGGGTGTGCCCCGGCGGGCAGCCGCCTGTTGTTTGAGCCGACCACACACGGGTGCGACCCCGATTTCGGAGTGCGCCCCGCCTAGGGTTTGAGCACGATTTCGGTGGGTATGTCCCCTAGGTTTGGCTCAGGATTTCGTGCCTTCGGGCGTTGCGAGTCTGTGGTTATCGTCGACCGGATTCGTGGGGGGTTTAGGATGCTGTTTCACCAGATGCTCGGCGTTGCTCGCCCTTTGCTCGCCGATGCCATTTTTGTGTTCATTCTGTAGTGGTCTTCTGACAAGGCCCGCCAACTTTTGCAGTAACATTTTGCTAGAATGCTTGTGCCGGGGTGGTTGTCCTGCAGACGACAGCCGACGAGTCCGGTGGGGCTTTGGCAACGAGGGCCGCCGGCGTTTTGGGAATCGGCAAAGGACCGCTTTTGGGCTCCTGTGGTGAGGCGCTTGGTCCGGGCGTCACCGCCAAGCTTGCCCGCTTGCAGAGTGGAGACTCCCTGACGTTCCAGCTTCGCCTGCCGCGAGTGCATGCGAACCAGGCCTTTGCCACAATCGAAGGAGACGGCACCGTTTTCACGGATGGCTCTGCCATTGTTGGGGGAGCCTTTCTGCACTCCGTGGTCTCGATCCAGGCCCCGTGGGGCCTTCGCCGCCCGTCGACGGCCTGGGGCGGTGCTGAAGAAGGTGGCGACGTCTTCAGTTCAACGATCGCTTCAAGACTGTCGTGAAGATCCAGCCCAATCCCACGCCCTTTGCCGCGATCTTGCAGGATGGCTCGGTGATTTGCTGGGGAGATGAGGAAGCGGGCGGGCAGGGCTTCGTGCCCGTCGATGGGGAGGAGCTGGTTGGCGTCCGGGATGTTCAAGCCGCGACGTGCGCCTTCGCTGCGATCACAGGCGACGGCTGGGTGGAGGTTTGGGGTCGCGAAGACTGCGGGGGCCAGCTGGACGACTTCGTCGTGAATGCCGCGTACCTCCAAGTAAAGTCGGACGTTTCATACCTTGGATAGGGTAATGGGGGTCGTAGAAAAATTGAACCCCAAGGAACTGCAGTGGGAATTCTCCAGCCCTGAACCCTTAACCCGAGACCCTAAGTAAGCCTTGAACCCCCAAAGACTGAAGCCGTCTGAAACCCCCGTACGTACTTCTTGCAAGCAGAAGACTAATAGCCCGGCTACTCTCTTTTCGACCTGCTGGAACAACAGACTTGTACAGGGTGTTGTCCTGTTTAGTGTTTTTTCGCGGGTTTCGTAAGGGGTCGATGGCTACTTCCCCACTTGAGACCCTTTGTCTGGGCTCTTGAAGCCGCACGGCCGTTCGGATTGAGAGTATTATAAGACAACAACAGCAACGGCGCAAAAAGTTCGCCATGCAACATCAAGATAACAATAGTGCCTGAGTGATTGGGTCAGGGTTTTGGGATTTGTTATAATCGAAGCGCCAGAGTAGCCCAAAACCCAATCCACAACGCAGGTTTTCCCTAATTCCTAAAACCCAAATTCTCCGAAACCCTGCTTCAAAACCAGACCCAAATCTGGCACATATTATAGAAGCCTGAATATTAGCCAGATGATTCCCAGTTTGCAAGAATCTAATTGTTCCAAACCCTATTCCAATCATTAAGGCGTCCACATCAGCATTTGAGGGGCTGAGAGTGATCGGTCAAGCGTCTCATGGACAACGGGCACAGGGCTTTACATGAGGGGGGGATAGGGGGGGGGGGGGTTTATCAGGTGGTTGTTGTACTCAAGGGTTTCGTGGGGTGTCTGCCCCTTTGGAGACTTTTTTTCGAGGTCGACACCACCATGCCCCTGGCATTCTGACACTCCCACATGAGCGTCATGGAAGTCAAGAGCACTAACAGTTTTCCTCGAAGTTTCTGATCCCTGAACTTGTCGACTGTTCCAAAAATAGGGTGAAGAGCCACTTGTTCCATAAACCCCCAGCGAACCGGCGAGGCGCAGGGGTCTTCAACGGCTGATTGACCACGCGGCACCCGGGCGAGATGAGATCAATATCAACAAAAGGATTAGAGTTCAGGGCGAAGTCTGAATATTGTCCCCAAACTCCTAAACCCGAATGCCTCAAGTTTCAAGTTTCGAAAGCAACTGACAGCCTTCAATCCTCAACGCCTCAATCCCGGTATCAGCGACAAGAACCTAGACCTTAGAGCATCACCACCTTCAGCGACGAAGCATGAGGATCGGCCCCGGCTCCGCCTCTTTTTGGCTTTGGTGTGTGGGGGTTTAGGTATTCGGGTTTAGCGTGTATAAGGTTTATGGCAGTCTAAAGCAAGTGGAAGTAATAGTATCATCTCATAGTCCTTATGGAGTTGTATCATGATCGACCCCCCGACCCTGGTGCAAATAGTAGACTCTCCAGTCTCACATAATAGGATATACGATATAACTTTGCTTGTCGTAAGATGTCCAAAAAACATATCGTGCCTTCTCACATATTGCAAGGTTCAGGTGCTTTGGGGCCCCGGAAGCGTCCGATCTTTCGTGTCGCCCAGGCGACAGGCGGAGACTGTTACATATGGGTGGTTGTCAAAATTAGGGTCCCTTTTAGGGACCCAAAAAGGGACCACAATTTTGACAACCACCCATATCGGTGAATCGTGAAGAAGACTTGCGGGCTGCTTCATGTTTCTTGTTGGATGAAGTTTGGGGTTTCGGGTTTGCGGTTCAGGGTTTAGGGGTTTAGGGTTTGCGGTTTAGGGCTTAGCGTTTAGGGTTTAGGGTTCGGGGCTTAGGGAAAGTAAGGCAAGATGTTGCAGAGCTAAATTCATTCAAGCAAACCGTCGTGGCCCTTGACACCCCTAAACCCATGAATCGACTTTCATGTTCGACTCTGCTCTTAGGCATTCGATGGATTCTTCGCGCTTCTTGTGGTGACGAACACGATCTTCATCGGCATTGAGGCAGACATCCCTTTCGGATCGTCCTGGAACTTTCATTATAGTCGGTGGTAATGCACCACGATGCTAGGCGAAGCTAGTGAGCCGTGCTCCTGAACCCTCAACGCCCTCACAAGCCCCGAACCCTAACCCCTTATTTCCCTAAACCCCTAAACTCTCTCAGCCCCTTGAACCCTTATTCCCCTAAACCATCTAAACCCTCTAAACCCCTAAACCCCCCAAACCCTCGGAGCTGGGAGGTTCAGGAGACGATGTCCAATACGGGTGTCCGACCTACGATCTTCTACGTGGTGCAGCACCTTCGGTTTGGGGGGTCAGGGGTTTAGGGGATTTAGGGGTTGAGGGGTTGAGGGGGTGGGGTTTGAGAAGTTTAAGTCAGGGTTTGTGGTTTGGGGGTTTAGGGGGGTTGAGAGGTTTAGGGGTTTGAGGATTTAAGGGTTCAGGGGTTTAGTTGTTTAGGGTCTAGTAGTCTAGGGCTGAGGGTTACGATTACTTGGTGTTTTTGGGTAGCAGGTTTAGGGCTGAGGGTTCAGGGCATCTGTTTGTGAGGGTTTAGGGTTTCGGGTTCAGGGCTTGTAGGGTTAAGAACAGTTTGTGGTTTCGGGTGTAGGGCTTCGGGTAGGTGATCACAAGAAAACGCGTTTGAAGGAAAATGTCATTTTTGAAGAATGTATACACTCACCGAAAACTCTGAACAACCGTCAACACCTTCGCCAGGGTTCCGTAACGCATACTGTTATGGTATATCTTCGAAGCCCCAGTCTAATTCTGCAGGCCGGTAGACAAAGGCCCTCCATTTAATTGGGCCGAGTAGGTAAAGGATTAAACCCCCAAACCCTGTTATCAACTCTAAGCTCTAAGCGCCTATAAACCTGACAAGACCAGATGCAACTTCAAGGTTACAGGAGCCCGCAGCTTTGCGTTCAGGATTCAGCGCAGGTGCCGCCGAGACCCGAACAGAAGTTCCATGAGACGCACGACTAGCAGCCGCCCGCGGTCGTGGTCAGGGGATCGTGAGCATGGTGGGAGCGCCAGTGTCTGTGTTGTGCTGCACTGATGACTGGATTGCTTCTGACCATTCAGATGCACTGTCAGGCAAGCAGGCAAATTCGTCCTGTCAGAGCTGCAAAAGGAGCACCAGCGGTTCTGGCCTGCGACAGCATCAGAACAACAACACGGCACTGGTGGCACAGGCCACGTGTCAGCCTGAGCCCTGAAGATTTGAAAACCCGCCACGTAAGCCGTCAAACCCTGAAGCTCTACATAACGATCCAAAGCCTGCAGATCTCAAGAGCCTGAAACCCCATAAACTCTCACATCCTGAAGCCCGAAAGCCCTGAAACCCTGAAGTCCTAATGCCCTCAAACCCCAAAAGCCGTGGATCCCTGGAGCCCGGCCTCCTAAAGCCCTAAGCTGCAAGGCGAAACAGGAAGGCGCTGGAAGTCAAAAAGCAATAGACACAGTGGCCCAAACCTATCTACACCCCTAAACCCCTAAAGCCCTAAGCCCTAAGTGGCCCAGGTGTATCTACACCCCTAAACCCTAAACCCCTAAAGCCCTAAGCCCTAAGTGGCCCAGGTATATCTACACCCCTAAGCCCTAAACCCTAAAGCCCTAAGCCCTAAGTGGCCCAGGTATATCTGCACTCCTAAACCCTAAGCCCTAAAGCCTAAAGGCCTAAGCCCTAAGTGGCCCAGGTATATCTACACCGCCTTGTTCACCATTGAGCTGATCCTGCGAGTTGCGGCTGAAGGGTACCGACTATTTCTCGACGAGGTTGGCTGAAAAGGGCGGAGGGTTCCCAGCAAGGTTCGCTTACGAGGCAGGTTTAGCGGAGAATCCAAGCTTAGGGTTTACCTTAACCCCGAATATCATACCTTTTTGAGGACTTATGTGAGGGTGTTCTTGGGGTGAGCACCTGTGTTTTTTCTGGCAACAGTACTAAGCCCGATAGATGCAACTATTATATGAGCTTGAAACCCTAGCTGGATCATGAGCCCCCACCTTCTTCATGTCTAGCCTTGGCTTGGTTTTGGTCGTATGATCTGAGGGATCCAGGTACCAAGCCCAGAAAACGTCCGCACTGATCCCCATACACACACTTCACAACTTTCAAGCCCTGCAACGCCTACAACGGAAAAGCTTCAACAATAAGCACATCAAAGAAGGGTAAGCGTCCAAAACGTGCTGAACAAATCTAAACCCTAAACCCTAGCACAAGCGAGCAGGAGTGGATGTGGGCCTGGTTGGATCTGGTGGTGGTCGCAAGCAGCGTTGCCGAGGCAGCAAGAAGCGGACGAGTTTTCCTCGGGCTATCGGGGCCGTTGGGTTTTAGCATAGGATGTGTGGCGTGCTTTGTTTGGGGGTTTATATTTTATGAGAGACACCAAGGCCTTTGAGCTCAGTCGGTTTGTTACCGCGAGCAGGATAAGCCCGCCAGACGGACCTCACAGTCCAGGACTATGTTTGCGGGTTCGGCCCTTCTGTAATTTTGAAACACGTGCAAACCGCTCTCTCGATCCGGAACTCCATGAGCCATGGGAGCTTGAAACCTCTTGCTCACAGATGGCAACGGTGAAACACAGACACAGACACCCGAACCCCGAGCCTTGGGCCCTTTGGTCCCCGTCCCTGCAAGGTGGGCTTCAACATCGTTGAATCACAGGGTGGGACGGACATGACCCCGGGCCTGATTGGCAGATATTACATCAGTTGCTGAACCCCACCAAAGCCTTAGCCATCGTCAAAGTTTGGATGAGAGCATTGTAGACCCTTGCTTTTCCCTCACCCCTCTGCTACAGGGCCGTGCTATCAAGATCCCTATTACGGTCGAGGGTCTACATTTCTTGTTTTCGCAGCTGGCTTGGCAAGCTGTGTCGGGGACCGATACTAGGACCTAGGTTTGTCCACGGCGTTTGCTGTTTTCAGAGGCTGAAGTCTGTCATACAAGAGCTGCATGGTACAAGGATTTTCGCGTCCACCACAGCTACCGCCGCCGCCGCCACCGAACGCCACGGCCACCGCCGCCACCTTCTACACCACCTACAGCATCGCCAGCACCAGCAGCATCAGATGCAGTAGCACCACAACCATCATCATCACCATCATCTTCTTCTTCAGCATCATCCTCATCGTCATCAGCATCATCGGCAACATCATCATCCTGGTCATCATCGTCGTCAGTTCTCCTGTGAGTCCTCAACAATTCACGCTCCAACTCCTTTTTCTATTGGGATGCTTGTCAACCTCCAGCTTTCAGCACAAAGCCCGAAGCCCCGAGCAAACACAGCAATAGATCTCGTTCGGCTAGGGCAGTTTTAGGCTTCGATGTTCGGGGTCACAGTGTAGCTTGTGTGCTTGAGGGTTTTGGGCTTCTTCCTTCAGCTAGACCTCGTAGTTTGACCTTGAACACCAAGGTCCGGCTTCCGCGCCTTCCGTGTGATACGGATCACCCGCCCCCCGGAGCATGATGAGCAGAACCGATAGGGGAGTTTCCGAAAATTAGGGATAGCTTATTTGGGGTCCTTATAATAGGGATCCTACTACTTAAAGTACTATATTCGGGTCCCCTATTTTCGGAAACTCCCATAAGGTTTGTAAGGTTTAGGGTTTCGGATGCCGGGGTTTGAGGCTTGGGAGCTTGAACACACTTACTTCCAGGTGTCGACTCCAGCAAGCTTGTTTGACCCCAACCTTCAGATGGAAACTCGCAGTTTGGGAACATCCTAGGCTTGAAACCCATAAAACCTAAACCAAAAGTCCTAAAACTTCATCTCGAAAACCCTGAACTTGAGTCATCCAATTACGTTGGATGGCCCAGGAGAGGTCTTGATGTTATATAGGTGCTCGGGTAAGGCATTAAACAGCAGTACTGTTCCTAGGGCCTTAGGGTTGGGCTATTGTTAGAGCTCTCGAAGAATATAAGTACACACTACAACCAGGTTATTAAGGCCACTAGAATATTCGGGAAGTTCTACTCCTGACAATCTTTTTCATCCGCAAGGCTTGTCTTAGCTTGCCCAAAACCCGGAACCCAACACCCTCATAAGCGCTTCAAGCCACACCCCATCCTGGACACGCGCCCACATGCATCATGCGAAAGCAGCTTGAGTTTCCTGAGTACTTGACTGCCCTCAATTCGAGAAGCCAATATGTGCTTGTGCCGAACAAATAAAACTTGGCCTGGGCATCATGGGACAAAAAGTCCTTGTTTCTTCGGCTTGGAACTTGTAACTGACATCCGCTGTTCAGTAAATAATGTACTTCGAGTTGACATGCTCTGTTCTATGGCACGAAGTTGTGGTGTGCTGCCTGGCGCAACCTTGGGACTCAAAGCAATACCGGACAATCGTTGATGCCGATGTTGAGCCCAAAGGGGTTGATGTTCCGCCTTGTCAGCCGCTCGATTGAAAACATGTGGGTCTGAATTCTTAGTTCTGGGTAATTAGTTAGCATCCCTCACCGTCCCTGATATGTTCATAGTGGCCTGATCCCCTTGCCCAATTCTGATTAATTACCCAGCCCTGATCCCTGAACGTCTAAACCCTGAACCCTAAACCCAACATAAACCCTGCCGTTCTGAGGCTTTTTAAAAACGCTTCGGCTGGTCAGGGTCTTCCGGTTCGTCATGGCGTTGAGGACTGGGTTCAGGGGTTGGGGTTTGAGAGCAGTCGACTGTGGGTGGTGGGGTTCAGGGGCTCGGCGTTTGGGGCTTATTGTTTAGGGTTTCAGGGGTTGGGGTTTGGGGGTTAGGGTTTGGGGGGGTTTTGGAGGGATTAGGGTCTAGGATGAAGAGTTTGGGTTCAGAGCATAGGATTCTCCAGGATATGGGAGATACCGGTAGCTCCCAAAGACGAGCTTTTTCTAAGATACACACCAGGAACCCAGAAATACGAGCCTTGGAAAGGTAGGTTTGTCTTTCGGGTTCAGGAAAGGCTTGGGGTTCAGGGCTAGGGATGGGGCTTTATATATAAGTTAGGGCATTAAGGTTCTGGAATTACTGCCTGCAGCTGGCACTTCACTCTATTACAGGTTTGCCATTTGGGAGAAGGAAGAATTTCCGCCGTAGGCCTTCAGTCGGCGTTCGTGAGGCGTGTTTTGTTGAGCTAAGCATCATTTTTCTCAGCTGGAGCTGTTTATCATGACGTTCCCGCAGCTGCATCATGGAACCTGAATCCGAAAACAAGCTTAGGATTGATTAGGGCCTTTACCTTCGTTATTTACCTCAAGTTTGCATGTCGATAAGGACCTAGGGCGCAGTTTCAACATCCTCACATACGGCTCGGCGTTGCAGCGAAGGGCTGAGGGAATAGGGAGTCTGGTGTTTGGAACAACTATTGCTACCCGAAGCATCACCCCTCGACCCCGTGTAGGACTCTGATCACATCTATTTTGCAGCTTGGCGGCAGTGTTGGGATTGTCGGTGATTGTCGTCACACTCGAAAGGCCGTGTCTCGCTACCTCCTAAACCTGTAGAGGTCTTCTTTTTCAGGGTTCTAGAGATTTGCTTTGGGGTCGTAGAGTTTTGTGGTTGGATTTCAGGTCCCCCGGTTTCTGAACAGCTCTTCTTCACACACAGACATTTTCAGGATTAATTCCATAGTTGTTATGCCCCAAAAGGAGTCAGATGAAACTATTGGGTTCTTGCGTTCAGTATAGAGAGAATCTGATTGAGATGGCCGCGCGACGCGTTCACCAAAATGGCTCCCAATGTCTTCATTAAATGATTTACAGCAAATTCTGCAGTTCCAAAACCCTGTATCTAAGGAATACACCTTTAAATCAGATTATGGATCCTGCTATAACTCAATCCATATGTCTTGGATTCCTTAACTACTACGGGATTTTGTAAGATCCGGGCCCCAGGGCGCATCGGACGTGCGCATTGCCACTTTGTGGGTACTTTTCGTCGGCATCCTCTTGTTTGCAGAGGATGCTGGGTGCACCCACTTGGAGGTTCATGGGTAGCCATAAGTGGGGTTATACATCGGGTAGCTATACTCATATCCCTAATTGGGGACGTATAACCCCACAAATAACTACCCCTGAACCTCCAAGCAGGGGCCAGGCTTCATTGTAGATAATGCGACATAGACCACTTCGAGCTCCCGAAAATCCTGAATCGCAGAAAATTTCGAGGAAACGATTCCACATCCCGAAATGCGCCAGTATTTGGGGGGAAGCAGTGACTCTGTATGGTGCCACGATGGCTTTCTGAGGATATCACTGTTCTCTGCGTGGTGTCTTGGTGGTCTCTTCGTGGTCTCCTGCTCGTCTCTTGCTGTGGTCTTCTGGTGCTCCCGTGGAGAGTCAGTGTTTTCGGGGTGCATTGGTGGTCTTCTAGTGGCCTCTTGGTACGCTACTGATCTCCTGGCGGTCTCTTCGTGGTCTCCTGAATTCTTGGTTGTATCTTGCTGGTGGTCATCACAGACTGCTCTCATAGGCTCCTGGAGCTCTTCGGAATGCCAACTCATGTTGGTCGATTACCCGAGTGCCTCCCCAAAGGCTCTTGGAGCTCAAGGGCCTCCAACTGAGCTCTGCGGCCTCCATGTTGGCAATACTACAGCGACAGCGCCGGTTAAGAATCAGTTTGTTTTTTGGTGAGGGGGCGCTCGATTTCTTAGTTTTGAAGCGCACCTTTTTAGGAAAAAATCTGTCCATGTCTTAACCCAAGAATTTCTTAATTTGCAACGGCAGCAACTAACAAACAAGTACAAGAAATGAGAGCTCAGCAGGGTTCGAGCCCGCAGCACTTCCATTCCAGCTCATGTGCTTATCCACTCGGGCATGGCAGCCCCCAGACTCCTGAAACGCCACTATATTGATCCCATTTTTACCCAGCTTGCAGGCAGCCCCTACCAGAACCCCCCCCCCCCCAATATTTTGTTTTTTTCTCTGGCAAAGCTTATTTGAGCCCTTAGTAAGCCCTTACAAAGCCTCCACAGCCCTCCAAAAAAAAAGTGTTATTAAGGCCTTATTCAGCCCGTATTGGGCTAATATGGCCTTAATAACAGCTTTGGAGGGCTTTGGAGGCTTTGTAAGGGCTTAAGGGCTCAAAGTAAGCTTTGCCATATAGGAAAACCCACCGAAATAAGAAATTGAGGGGCTCGATTTCTGATTTTGGTGGAGTTCTGGTAAGGGCTGAGTACAGGCTGGGCCGGGCAAAAAATGGGATCGATATGGTGGCGTATCAGGAGTCTGGAGGCTGCCATGCCCGAGTGGATAAGCACATGAATGGAAAGTGCTGCGGGATCAAATCCTCCAGTGCACTCATTTCTTGGTTTCCTTTGGGAATACGAAATCTACTCCCTTAGTTTGTTGGTTTTTTTCGCGAACAACACCAGGGAAGATAAAAAGAGAAAGAGCAGAACAAGAAATTGGCACGCCGAGTCCATACCCTGCGTTTCTGATTTTGCATGTGCGCATTTTGCGTATAGATTTGTTTGTCGCGCGACTGTCCCAGAGGCTCAATTTCTCAAACTAATGATTTCTTAAGCAGTGCAGTTGCTGTATTTTGGGGGCTTCTTTATTATAACTATATATTGTATAATGGGCCCCAAAACCGTATTCTGATTATTAAGGCCCTATAGTACGTTCGCGGAGTGGACGGTTTCTGTCAGACAAGCTGCGCAAATGCTGGAAAATTGCGGCAACTATAGTTGCGACCTGTATTTTCCCAAGCATAGCGAACCACGGCCAGGCGGTCATGACTTCCTGCTC